TATTTACTTGTTCTCAATGTATGATTCTTCTTCTAAAACATTCTTTTATGAGTTAGGATTCATTTGAATCCAGTTTCACTCAAAAATATGATGTTTTGAGGCATGAACATATTTATTTAAGTCAAGTGTGCAATCTGTCAACTAATGACAGATGTGTGCATGTGACTTTAAGGTATCATATCTTCCTCTCTACTCATCTAAAATGAGTTACTTTTAGTTTAAAAGTTTATTATAAGTGTTAGGTTTTCACTCCAACTTGAATTTCTGTAGAACACCTAGTAGAAATCTTTTAATGAGTGTTTTACTAACATGGTGCAATCTGCCATTTCAATTGTGAGATGTTGCATTGCATAAATTATTTGAATCATCATCTCATGCCCAAAATACTTGAAATTTGGTCATGATGAGTATAACTCAGTGCTATAAATCATATAAAAAGATGAGAATTTATCTCATTTTTTAAGTCACTTTATTTGATCATTTTATGTAACTTAAGTTTCTGTCCAGAATCAAGAATTCTGGATTTGGTTAAATTGTAAAAGTTGCTCTTTTATTTGATTATAACATCATTTTCAGTATAAATTAATTCTTTAATGAGCATATGGACATTATGTATATTTGGACTATTGATAATATTATGGAACATAAGTAGACAAATAAGGACTTAAGATTTATTAAACCCCATAGGTAGAGATAAATCAATACGTGATGGTTTTGGATATTCCTATTGATAGGGAATCGTTGATTTAGCATGGTATTCGGATCGTATTGCTTTTTCTTTGCAGAGCTATATATCAAAAGTGAGTTTCACAGCCCCTTTTTACTAATTTCTCGTTTTGGGGTGAAAAGTATGGTTAATGAATGTTTGATAGATTTATATCAATATATGAATCTTGTTAGGAACATTTAATTGTATACACTATTGATATGTTGAGATTGAAAGTCCCCATTATTTCCACTACTACTAATTCATTTTTGAACCCATGATTCTTGTGGATAGCGCTATTTGGTTGTTATACCCACCTTGTTACTGACAAGTAGGGGTGCACTTGGTCATCTTAATTTGCTCTACACATGTGGCACGAAGTAGTCACCACTGAGGTAGTCCGGAAGGAGTTCTACTCATGTGGGGTTAGTCCCACCACTGAGGTAGTTCGGCATGAGTTCTACACATGTGGGGTTTAGTCTCACCTCTGAGGTAGTTCGTAAGTATGTTCTACACATGTGGTTCGCTACCACTTCTGAGGTAGTTCGTGGGGCGCTTGTAGGTTTAGTAGTGGCTTGACAAATTTATATCATGTGTATGACGTTGTTTTTAAGATATTGCTCATAAATTTATAATTGGGATTGCTGTATGTAAAATTGTTTTGTGCATATAAAACTTGTGAACTCACCAACTTTTGTAGTTGACACTTGTTTGACATGCTTTTTCAGGGTAAGAAAGACTCACGGTGACACTTGTTAGAAGACGTGTCACATTTATCGATTTCAAAAGTACTTTTATGTTTATTTTGTAAATATGTATTTGAGACTGTAAACTTTAGTTTTGATGTAACTATGTTTTAAATTGTATGTTTGTATTGTTTATACACTATTGCTATGAGACTCTACCTGCCATACCTCGCGTTTCCGCTTTTACGGTGTGTGACAGATTTGGTATCAGAGCTATAGGTTATAGAGAACACCGGTTTTCTAAGAAAACCATACACTATAACCCAAAATTTTACGAATTAATTTTCTTAGTTAGAGTCTAAAAAATTTAAAACGGACATACTACTAATATAACTAGAACGGGTAACTTCTTAGCATACTCTAACTAGACATAGCCTGATCACCTGTGTCTAATTAAGTATGTATAAGGAGAGACGTGGATTGGTTAAGTTAGGTATTTGTCTAAAAGTTAAAGACTTCTTACACATTAAGAAAAGCATGGTACGCTTTTGTGAGTTTGCATAAATATTTGCATTCTTTTATTTTGAATCGTTTAATGATTTATCGCAGCGTTATGTCGGAAAATGAGCATATGAACTCTGAAGAATACGATCCCTCAGACCACAGCTATGATAGTGATAATGATACCACTGAATCTTCAGCGCGGTCACCCACCCCACAGCCGCCTAGCTCT